TCCGAATATTTCGTCATCATCGTCGACCCCTTCCTTTCACCTCCTTCGCCCTACCCTTGGTCCTCCTGAGCCTCCCGTTCCTTCCACCCCTGTTCCCGCTGCTGTTGCTTGTCCCCGTCGGCCTCATTCCTCCTTCTTATTATTCTCCTTCTCATCCTCCTGAGCATCCGTCACCGATTGCGTATAAAACGATGGGGTCTTGAGAGTTCCAGGTTCCTTGTGACGCACGTCCGCGGATAAGGAAAGACACCAGCGCAATGGGAAGGGATGGGTGGGAGAGGTAGGATGTTAGATATGGAGCAAGCGCACCTTGATTGCCGACCCCCCTCTCTCCTCCCCTTCCTCCCTTCTCCTCCTCTCGCTGCCTCCTTCCACATCTGTCCTTCACCATCTGCGCATCCTAGCGCGAGCACCGCTCCCTCAGGTGCTCGTCGTTGTTGTCGTCTTCCTCCTCCCTCCTCCCTCGCCCCCTCCCCCTGCCCCTGCGCGCGCACCCTCACGGAGGGAGGGGGGAGGGCAAAACGAGATGATGACGATGACGATGACGATGACGATGACGATGACGATGACGATGACGATGACGATGATGATGATGATGATGATGATGATGATGATGATGATGATGATGATGATGATGATGATGCTGATGATGATGATGATGATGATGTTGATGATGATGTTGATGATGATGATGATGATGATGCTGATGATGATGATGATGATGACGATGATGATGATGATGATGACGTTGATGTTGATGAGGATGATGAGGATGATGAGGATGATGATGATGATGACGATGTTGATGATGATGCTGATGCTGAATCGGATGATAATGATAATACTGATAATACTGGTGATGATGCTAATGATGATGCTAATGATGATGATGATGATGATGATGATGATGATGATGATGATGATGCCGATGTGATGGTGATGCTGATGGTGATGGTGATGGTGATGGTTATAATAAAGATGTTGATGATTATGTCGTTGTTAATGATGATGAGGAGGATGAGGGAGAAGAAGGAGGAGGATGAGGATGGGAGAAGGCGGCGGAGGCGGATGATGAGAAGGAGGCTGGGGATAGGGAGGAGGAGGAGGAGGAGGAGTTGGAGGGGGCCGAGTGAGAATTTGACCACATAGGACTTCTTGACGCTTCGCTTATTGCCACCAGCCCATCCGGCATAAGGGAAGTGGGGCAGCATGCAGTGGGACGAAGAGCTGGGGAAGCCGTCGAGTCGAAGCTTTGGGTCGGCCTGAGCAAGCCCGTCAAGCCTGTCCAGCCTTCGCGTATCGTTCGCTCCGCGAGCTTTTCGGAGGCCTCCTCGTAATTTAAGCCTTTTGGAATTATCTTGGAGCCTTCTGTGCCCTCTTGGGGGCCTGTTGGAGGTGAGCCTACTGGGACGATCTTCGGCCCCATCGGTCAACAAAAAAGCAGTGGAAATGAAGTTTCCCCCTCGGAAACAGAGCAGTTGCTTCTTGGGCCTCTCTTGGGGCGCTCCTGGGTGCCTCCTGGGCGATCTTGGGGCCGTCTTGGGGTCTTCTCGGACCCCTCCTAGGGCTCTCTTGGGCCATGGTAAGGCCATCTCGAGGCCTCAGGAGCCCATCGGAGGCGAGAATGCCAAAAAATATGGTTGTCCGTGGGTGTTTGAAGAATTTTTACCTCTTAGGGGGACCTTGGAGAGCTCGGAGAGCACTGGAGTCCGTCTTGAGCTGGTCTTGGGCGATCTTCCGCCAACTCGAGCTATCTAGAGTCATCCCGGAGGCCGTCTTGGGCTCTCTGAGGCGCTCTTCAAGCCATCTTTGGCCATCGTTCCAAACCCCCAGGCCCACCGCCCAGGCACAGGGAGGGGGAGGGGGGAGGTCAACCTCCCCGAATAGGGGAAGAGAGGAACTTAGAAAAGGAATCGCTCCAGAACACCTGCGCCCAGAGGGCTGGTGGGACTGGAGTCGGTTTGCGAAGAAAGAGGGAGGGAAGGTGGAGGGAGAGGGAGTCAGGGAGAACGACGAGTGGGGAGAGGACAGGAGCACGCGAAAGAGCAGGAGCACGAGCAGGAGTCGGGCTGTGTAGCCAGCTCGCACGGGCCGTCGGGCCCCGGCCACTCCCGCCCGCCCTCCCTCGAAGAAGCGACGCCGGCACAGCCGGGCAGTGGGGCTGGCGCACGTTCCCACCAGTGATTCAGAGATGGGGCCGCGCACGGTCGCGCGCGCCGCAGGCATTTTGGAAGTGCCTTCGGGGCGGCGCAGGGGCGGCAAAAAATGTTGGTGTTTTGCGTGTCAGGGCATTTTCTTTTGCGGAGTTGGGCGCCCTGGTGCGGATGGCCGAACGTCCCCTGCAGCGGGACACCCTGGCCACGCAGTCGCCGCCACAAAAATTGCCCGTTCAAGGCTGGCGCCGCGCACAGGCGGCGCCGAACAGAGTCCTGAGGGATGGGGTCCTGAGGGTAGGAAGGTATCCAAGGGTGGTTGTTTGAGGCACGTCGTCTCAAGGGAGGAAAAACCACCCGGACTGGACAGTTGGCGTTTACTAAACGTTCTTGGGCGTTTGGTTGGACAGCCCTGCCTTGTTCGATTCCGTCTTTGGGCGCGTTTACTCAAGGTATTCGCGTGTCGGGTTGGTTATTCTGGGGGGGGGATTTTTTGATTTCTATCGTCCTCAGGAGCCCATCCCTCAAGTCCCAATGCTTGAGCCACCGGGCTGGGCGAGCGTGGCAGACGGGAGTCGCGTGCGCGCGCGAACGGTGCCGCCCCCGACGGCAGGGCGGACGGCCACCACGGGGTTGCGCACAGGCGGAAGCAGAGTTCCGAGAGAATCCTCGTGCGGCATGCTGGAGATAGTAGCTCCTTCGCGTACGGGCACGTTTCTGGCAGGTTTGGCGAGGACCGAAATGGGCTCTGCATGCGGAAGTCGGCGGACACGCTCTGTGAAGGGGAACGCTTGTCATCGCTGCGCTGTTTCATCACCAGAGTCTTTGCACATGCCGGGGACGGCAAATAATCTGGAGGAGGTATGAGGAGGATGATTCGAGGGGAGGACAAGGAAGACGTGGAATGTGTGATGAAGAGGGCGACGAGGTGTTGGGAGGAGGGGCAAAGGATGAGGAGGAGCGGCGACGATGAGGCTTGGCGGGATGGCGAGTCCACCCGCGATAACACAAACGTCGTCGCCTCATCTTGGGCTAGGGTTTACACCACAGCGCAGACTGGCACGCGTAGAGTGTATACATCCATGGGTCCATTCCGATTCCATAGATCCGAGTCGATTTCGATTTCGGCCTGTTCGTTCAGATTCGGTTATGGTGCTCTAGCGGTCCGATGCGGCTCGATGTTTTCACGACGTTGCTGTGCATCCTGGAGCGGCCGATCCATTATGACTCCGATTCCGTGCCGATGCAGCCCGATCCGACGCCCGTTCCGATTCGACCCGGCTTCCCAATTTGATTATGATCGATTTTGTTATCTCACGAACAACCTATCCTTCCTCCCCGCTTTGATGCCAAAGCTGCTCGATCTCCAGTGCGGCCATGACCATCGGGATCGCGGGTGCTGCCATCACCGTCCATGCCGTCGTCATCGGTATTTAGCAGTTTCGGAGCACGCCGGGGGCGATGGGCTCGAGCATGCGTCGCATACTGCAGTTGGCCTGGGCAGCGACGGCGATCGCCAACATGATCCCAGGCGCGGACGCCACGCTGAGGTGCGCCGCCAAGAGATGTCCACATAGCCACCGCTTCGGCGTCTTGCCCGAGGATCCCACGGATTGGTGGATACGGATGTCCTCCCGCCTTTATGGGCAGGCCGCGATCCACATCCACCATTCCTTGAGGCCCACGGGCGCGATCCCTCCAATTTCAAAAAACACCACACAAAAAACATCAGGAGGGAAAACACACACAAGGAATCGTCGATTCCCCCGAAAACGGTGGAAAACATAGAGGAAGTGGGGGGGGGAGACAAAAGCCCAGAAAACAAAACATTGGAACATATGGGGAACCCTGTTAACAGCAAGAAACATACGGAACATATTTGAAAACATGTGATAAGATGGAAGAGTGTGGAACATACTCACGCATAACAGTTATTTGTGTGTATTTCTTTGTGTGTCCCAGGGCCCCTTCAAAACATTTGTTTGCTGGAGCTCCGCCCGGACTTCTCGATTGGATCGGCGCCGGGGCCCCCCCTGGCGGCCCCGCCGGCCCCGCCCCCCATGGGCGCGCTGCGCGCGCGCCAGGGGGGTGAACCCAGCGCCGGCCCGAGAGTCCCTCGCGGACTCCAGAGAAATGATGGCGTTGTCGTTTCCAAATATTCTATCGGAAACGGCAACAGTTGCAGTAACATTGGCGGGCTGTTTTTCAATCCCAAGACTTCTTGAGGATCAGGGACAAAACGGGACGGTGTTGTGTATACTCGTTTCCCCGCTTTCCCGTGAAAACAGCGAAACATGTATACATCAGGATCCCGTATGCACCAGTATCCGCTTTCCTGTGCGAGTTCCAGTGCAGGGCTGGAAAACGCGTCGGTGTATAGAGTTCGGTTCCCTATTCTAGGCCTCCTAGATGGGGTCCGAGTAGATGGGGTCTGAGGATCGCGCCGCATCGCCGATGCATCGGCGCTGCGGCTCGACGTGGGGCCCGATTTCCTTCACGTCGGCGTCGCCGATGCATTGTCCACGTCGACGATGCATCGCCGATTCATCGCCGATGCATCGCCGATGTATCGGCGATGCGGCGCGATCCTCCGACCCCATCTACTCCGACCCCATCTGGGAGGCATCTAAAGATCCGATGCCGTGTTTTGCTCAATACGGGGTCCCTGGAGGTCTCGGATCCTGCGCGGTGTTTTGACGGCCCCGAGGCTCGACAAGGGCCCCTAGAGGCCGACAAACTGCGAAAGACCTCCGTCGTGATTTTTGTTCAGCAGTTGGACCTTTGGGGTTCTGGGTCCCTCGAGCCCCGAAGTTGTGGACGTGGGCACGCCCTGGCGGTGGAGCCGAG